ATGAAGTGCTCATAGCGCTCAAAGTCAATATAATCCTCTTGCGTCATTCCACTTGGAAACCGTAATTTGGAAACATTACTATTCTTCATGTCTGATGTCTTGTCAGTGGTGGTAGCAGGAAAGGTTGATGATGTCACTGTCAAATCAGATTCCGGATTCCTCTCCGGAAGCTTCTTCTTCTCTTTTTCATCGGTGTGCAAGTGGGTCTGCTTATGATGGGTGCGTTTGATCTTGGCCTGCAGAAAAGTGATGATAAATTGTAGGTGTATAAGCACCACAATGGCGACTGCAATTATGAGAAATATCTGATAGATATGATTGCAGCGCTTCCAGTCTAACTCTTGGCCTTCAAGAGCCACTGGATTTGGAGCCTAATGAAACCAAAAGGTGGAACATAAAGAGGTTAATGCCAGGTACTTTAAGGTTCGCCAATTACGGTGATAGTAGGATTTTTCATTATAATTACATGAATTTCTTATGAATACCGATATATTATAACATATTACCCAGTATTATGCTATCTAATATAAGTTTCTTTGAAACTTTTCAATGAATGAACTCAAGTGATCTCTATTACATCTGAAACATGGTAGTTAGGATAAAGTAGATAGAATCTTGACTCTTCAAATAGATTCAAGAATTTCTCGGCCAATAAACGTTGAATATCCCTAACAAGAATTCACCTTGAAAGTCATGAGTATTAGAGTAGGAAGTGTACCCATTAAGTAACCTTTGTGCTACCTAAATCCAAAAATGTTGTAAGGTAAGACTTCGCTAGCACTTCTGCACGGACCACTTTCCATAGTTTCTCAAGATAAAAGTGCTATAATTTTATCAGAATGAAAATTGTTACTTCAAGGTAATCGATCTTATTAGCAAACATGGAATGCCTCACCCAAATCAAAGCAAATAATATTTCATAAACTTATGGAATAAGGGGACCCTTATTTTATACTTTAACGGCATATTCCATTTCTTTCTCAACGCAGTGTCACCATAAAAGGGAATAATTGCCTAGTTTATTACAAATACATTATCAGTTTCATGGGGTGGGCGGTAGATTTACCTCCGCGTGGCGCCCCTTGGGAAACGTAAACCGGCAGTTGACTTCCATTGTATACCATATTCCACCACTTCCACAGTACTCCCCTCACCTTTTTCTCTACCTTAGTGACTGTCTCTTTTGCACCTTTGAATCACTCTTCTCCACTTTTTCTCATTTTGATGTTCCTTCTCCTCTCTGTGAAGCCCGAAGTCAACTAAAGGGCTAATGTTGATGTTCCTCCTCTCTGTGAAGCCCGAAGTCAGCTAAAGGGCTAAAATGCTCCTCCCTTCTGTTGAAGCCGAAGTCAACTAAAGGGCTAATGATAACTTTCAAAACGCCTGCCATTTGAAATAAATAAATAAATTTTGTTTCCATAAAGCCTGCCATTTGATATAAATAAATGTACTGCTATTTCTGAAGCCTGAAGTCAGCTAAAGGGCTAATGATAGCTATCATCGCCTGCCATTTGATATAAATAAATATTTGGTAAACAGGGTTGCCATTTGATAAAAATAAATTATCAGCTTCATGTAAAAGATACCAACTTCTGAACTACGATGAATTTGCAGCGTACGCCATCAAAGCATAGTTAAGAGATGTTATCATGTATACTACTTAGGCAGAGTTTAAGAATCTCAAAAATCTGCTTGCAAAAGGAGAACATTAAATCGGCGATTTTTGTTATTAAAGGAAAAACCAATTCTCTGCATCAGGAGTTGCAATTGGTGCTTTTTTCATTACTGATTTTCATAGATTTAGATGATAAAGGTATTAAATATGATTTAATCCTTAAAAATATAAACTGTATCAATCTATTTTCTCTCTATTATTTAGCCTTATGCTTTATATGAATATATTGGATGAATAATCAGTGATGAAAAGGTTAGATGAAGTGCTGGAAACACACTCAATCCTGCTAGTAAAAAAATCGAAGACTAAATAAAACCAAATTCTGATTGAGAGACCATCGAAAATTTTAAGAGACTACTGAAGGATTCTTGTGAAATATATTTATATTTCATTCCCTCTGTTAAGAGAATATGGCAAGCTAACTTCAACACTTTCAATTCTTTTTTATTGCATAGTTTTTTACCGATCACCTATTCTGAAGTTCTAGGCATGAAAAACGAAGAAGATTAAATACTATCCCAAATTATTAATAAACTTTGGGTAAATACATACAAATTAAAACCAAAATAAGCATACGTCGATGCTTGCAGTTGGACACAAATGTCTGATTGATGAATACCTCTGCGAGCACATAAAAAAGTAACTGAATATATGACTACAAAATGGATTTAGCATGCTTATTCCAAATAAAAGTGGGTCAATTTTTTGCAAGATCAGAATAGGTTACACAAACTTGGATAGCAAGCGAGAAACTGAACTGCCAATTATGTGCCTAAAATGACTCAATTTAAGGGTAAGAAGCACAAATCACTTAGCTGTCGAAAAATAAATCAATGAAGTAACTTACTCTTGGATGATATCCACATACAAGCAGTTCGGGTTCACTTTTGACCTTTATGTCCAACAAATCGTCCTCAAATGATTCCTTTTCATATCTCACAACTGTTGGAAAGTCTGCTCTATCTATACATTGCATCTTCTTGCTCGTATGCAATCCGATCAATTTATTGATTTTCACATCAAGGCTTAAATAGGTGGCTAATCAGCTAATTCATGCAAAAATTGCGAACAAGCTTACAAATTACAGATAAAATTGGTTGTGAGACCCTTAGGCGACAATGATGTTACCATGTTGTAGTAGGAAATAAACAGTATGATGTAAAGAAAATGATTTATTTCTTTCGCAGACAGGTTATAATATATAAGCGTAAACGATAATAAGTATTACGTGAGTGAATAAAGTTGAAGTAATTGAACAGATCTTTTCATGGTATTTATCACAGAGTGCGAAATACAATTGGACTCTTAATCGGCCCTCCTACGAGACTTTTGCTTATCAAATCTAGCTTCCATTTCATCAAGAACTTTCGGTGTGTAACGAACGACCAGCCTCACGGTGCCTTAAAAGAAAAAAAACTACATAT